TTTTCTGTGTGCCTATTCATCATAAGTGTCTGATAGAATGCAAGGACTGAGTTGCATCCAACAGAACGAAGCTGTCACAGCGTGACTCTGAAAGTATATGTGACATATCCTGGAGCTGTACTAGAGCATGAAGGGTCTGCTAGAGTAGTGCTGGAGGGATGGGTTAGGTGGAGAAAGGTAGCTGCTGTATGTTCCACATCCTTGGAGACACTCAAGCTCAGGCTGGATGGGGCTCTGAGCAACCTGACCTAGCTGTAGGGTCCCTGTTCATTGCAGGGGAGTTGGACTAGATGACTTTTAAGGGTTTCTTCCACCTCAAAAGATTCTATGATTCTGTGAGTGACACAGGACTGACTTGCATTCTTTGGCCTTTCTCACATGCCAATACAAGTGAACATGAGTGCTGTATGACTTCCTGCTCATAGCATTTGCTCACTGACCAGTCACGCTTGACTGTCTCCTAGAAAATCCTGAATTGCACAAAGGACTTTCCTTGGAATAATATGGGCATGTACTAAAAACAGCACTGCACAGGTTCAAAACAAGAAGGATAGTGTGGAACTTCTCTGAGTACATGGTAACACAGCAAAAGTCCTTGCCACAAGATACTGTGGAGGGTAAAAGTTCACATGAGTTCAGTGAGTTCTTAAAGAAGAAAAACCTTTAATTTTAGTGAATTTGTGGAAGGTAACTCTGGCTTAGATAGACCCTAGGAGGCAATTGGTGAAGGCTGGCAGAATGTGCATGGAAATTATCACTCCATCTGCCCCAGCTTTTCTGCTCTGCCTTGTGCATCTTCTTTGTCCACTGCAAGCAACTGGATGCTGAGAAGTGCTGTGCTCCCACACCTTTATCTTCAAGCCTATCTCCATGACTGTGCATGTGTCTGCTGAATGCAGATTTATAGCGTTTGTCTGCAGTTTGGATTGCTCTTTTTTTTTTCCATTGCTTTATGTGGATACTTAGACCAGGTAGGATCAAGTTGTATGCATTTATCAGCAGACCTAGGACCTTTTGTCATAGTGAGCTTCCTGCTTAACTTAGTAAGCTCTTAATTAGCTTCTATATCTTTTCTGTCAGTCTTCCACTAAGCCATGGCAGATTTTTGCTCCTAGGAAGCAGAAATTAGGCTTTTTAGGCCATTTAGTACCTCTGTTGGGAAATTATTTTGTCCCAGAAAAGACTACTGTGATTCTTCATCATTACCAGGCAGTGAACCCCTTCATGCTCTTGTACCATTTCCTGTTAGCATCTTGTTTATCTTTCTCCAGAAACTGTTTTTTGATGCTTTGCTGGCAACCAATGGAAGCAGTCTTGAGCCCATCTGCATTCTGCTGCAGCACGCACAGTCTGAGCGCAGCATTAAGTGTCTGTGCTTACTATGTCAGACCCGTCATGCCTTTTCAGTTTCAGTTCTGTTACCATTTTTAACTGCATGTCCTTCAATTGGCCCATCTTCTGGAAAAGTGAGCAGTAATTTACTATGACATAACTTTCCCTATTAAAAATGTGTACATCTGTTCACTCAGCTACAGCTTCCTCAGCATCCTCCACTAGGATCATAATTAAGAGCTCTGATTGCAACCTGCTAATGATTCCTTCCCCAGATATCTCCCAATCTAATTTTAAATGTGACATAACAAATGGAGCTAACAAACTTTAAGAAAAGAACATGATAAGGATAAATGAGTTATAGTAACACCACAGATGAGCATTTATTTAAACATCAGTAGAAGTGTAAACTCACAAGCTTCTGTAACATTGTAGGAGAATTGTCTTAGAACAAGGTTTCCAAAAGATCAAGAAAGGTTTTATTTCATATTTATGGCTGTGTAAGATGACAAAGATAGATATGGGGGTGCATTCAGGATCACATTGCTGTGGCTATCTTGCATATATTGTAGCCTTATCTAAACTTACCGATACCAAAGATATATAAAAAAAGAAATCTTTTATTTCTAGCAAGCCTTAATTTTGTTCTAGAAAGTGTACTGTTCTTCTGGAGGAACAGTGATTATCAAAGTCCTGAGTACTGATAATCAGAATATTTCAGAGACCTTTCTCTGATTTCAGAAGGCATCTGATCAGCTTTACTGTTTAGCTGCTTGGATACATATGAAGCCTGTATGCTATCAGTAGTCAAAGCATGTCAGAGAAAAGTCAAAGGCATGTAATTTTAAAAGATGACACTGCTGAAGTTTTCTTGTACTATCAAAAGCTTCAATTATTAAATAATTACAGAAATGGGTTAAATTGTAATCACAGCGAAGGAAACGGTTATTTTGTTGTTAATTTCCATAGGCTCGGGATTTTGACTAAAATGAACAAATAAACTTGACTTAAAATCTTAATAATTTTAAAACAAATTTAATAAGATAGTGGAATATTCATTCTTTGCCATTCAGCTGTTCTGTTAAACGTTACAGAAGCATCACAGGTTAAGAGTCATTGTATTCCTTCCTGTTTTATTTCCAACATTAGTTTATCACTGAACATATGGTGCACATCCTGAACATCATTCATCAATATAATATAATGCTTTCTGTTCCACAATTGTAGATCTTGCAGTCAGTTATCCTGTGATTTCAGAATAAAGGGGTTATACAAAGATTGTTTCTTTCCACCCATCAAACAGTATGGTTGAATTTTTATATAAACCTAATTACCTTCTATTAAAATTATAAGATAAAAATAGGGTTATGTAAATCTTATGCATCAAAGACTAAGCAGATTGCCAGCAAAGGTCTAAAAGAATTTCTTTGTTCTCATGGAGTAAGCGATAAATAGGTGGATGGTTAAGAACAGGGCTTTTTCTTCATCCTGCAATATCAGATACTGGCCAGAGTCTGAAAGAGGATTTGGTATATTGAACTACAGTCTTTCTAATTTAGAATGCCATCTTTCTTAAAGCTTTGAATTATATTGTAGGTAACTAAGAAATAGGCATGATGAGTAGGTTGTTCTGCAGTTTACTTAGTTCTCTGTGTGCTAGGATTGCCAAGAGAGCTGCAATGATTAGCAGAATTCAAACTTTATCACCACTGTAAGAAAATGCTTATGAGGTTATGTCAAACATTTTGAAGCTATTCAGCTGGAGGTAAGGGTAATAGGAAGAAATTTTCTGAAATTACGATTATTAACTTATTACTTATTAAATTGTACTCTGTAGTGGCTCATTTGGAGCTTGATTTTTCAGTTTAGTTGATAAGCTTTGTCTAGCTTCAGCAGGAAAGGGATTCTTTTATTAAAGGAAAATGTGAAGGTGCAACTTGATGCAACTTTGTGTAAATTGGTGTTTTCCATAGTTTTGAATGGATGTCATTTCAAACTGTCCGTGTAAGTAAAGTAAAATCCCCACTGCTTTTGAAGAGAACAGGAGATAACTTTGAAAAACTTAACTCAGACAAGATTGCAAAGAGAAAGAAAGGGTTTTCAACCCTTGCTTCCACCTATTTCCATCCCAGTTCTCCTCCCTCATATCCCAGGATATGAAATCATATAGGCTGACTCTGATGCTGCCTGCTGCTGGCTCTGCTAGGTGGGAGTGCTGCATGCAGAGGACATCCTTAACCTCTTAACTCTTGGATCCTAAAATCCCAAGCCCTTTGTCAGTGAGCTTGGGAACCACAGTGATTTCAGTGCCTAGGAAGCCTGGATTTTAGGCTGAATGAACTATCGGTTTTTAATGTAACTTTGAAAAAGTGCTGGTACGTACAGTCTCAGGACAAATTAAAACCTCAGCAGGAGTAATATCACACTGTGTGAATAGGTTGCAGTTGATGCTTCTATTCTTTACTGTAATTGTCTGAGGGCTTCAGGATTATGTACACCAGGCTCTGAAGGAAACTGTGTTCATAAGCCCTATGACCTGTGCCATAAACTGGCATTTTGAGCAGTGCAGGGATATGAAAGACAAAAATAATACCGAGTAAGGGTCTGGATGAGAAAAACAAATTAGCTCTTTCTTCTGTGGTTTTTGCTGCTTACAGACTCACAGGTTTGGCTTTGTTCAAAAATAATAAAAAATGCTTCTTAGCTTTAAAATTAAGTTATTGATAGTAAAAACTAAGGAGGCAGATGTTTTCTAATCAAGGTCAGCATAAGAATAATACACACCATGAGTAGCTTCCCACTGTGGCAGAATTCAAATGGTAACAAAAATGGAAGTACCAGTATAAAGGACAAATCAGCAGGGGATTTTATTGCACTGGCCTGAATCATCAGGTTGTTTCCTCATAGGTGAAGTGATGCAAATCTCACTGCAGCTGCATGTGTCCCTCTAGTCTCTGCCTTAGCCTTTTAAGCCAGGCTGAGCAACTCTCTCAATGGTACCAGAAGGTATTGTGTTATGTGTCCTAATATTTTCCTTATCTACCTATCTACTGCTGCTTAACTGTTGTTAAACAAATTGATTTTATGTGACTTCAGTACAAAGCAGATAACATAGCAAAGTCACCTAAAATCTCTCATCATAGCATACTTGATTTATTTATCATCTTAAACGTATTTAATACAGAAATAATTGTTCTTAATACATTGCTTAAAATCTACTGAAATGCGCACTTCTTTTCTTTCTTACCTTTTATCCCCGTGACTTGGAGCAGTTCAGGTAGGCTTGCTTGGCCACCAGCTAAAGAAAATCATTTTGTACCCATTTCATCAGCAATTCATCTACTACCAGAAGTTCAGAGATTTATCAAATGATGAACAGTTCCAATTTGAATGCACTCAATGTTTGCATTCTCAGCTTACTTTGGAAATGAGACTTAAGGGATGAAAGCTATACAGATATACCGAAGTATTTTCTTTAAGCTCACTTTTTCTTAGTTTCATCACAGAAATAACAAAAGTACCATTTCCTTTAAGAGCTGGGCATGTTCATTTAGACAAAAATGATTCCTTAATACACAAGTGTATCCCTGTAAATGTGGCATTTTCACATAGTCTTTTTTTTTTTTTTTTTTTTTTTTTTTTGTGGGTTCCCACTTCAAGTGGTTACATGAGATATAAAAGTCTTTTCATTCTTCTCCTGATAGATTACATGCAAACTGTTTGTTAAGTGACATGGCTGAAATTGCCTCCAAGCGTTGCGGACAGCCGCGTTTATGTCACAAGATGACCTCATTGTTTGGGCGCCTGCCACGCTCCACAGCACTAAGACTTTCTCCATTGCAGCACACAGTAATTTATGTGAGCGATGGATCGTGTATTTGTACCCAATCAAGTGCAGGAAGACAGAGACATGAGATAATGCTGGAGAAGCTGTAGAACAAGAGCTCATCCACACTTTCCAAGCAGTCCAGACCATTTCGATCCTCTTAGGCAGGAAACAGTTCTGCTCAAAAGTCAAAAAGCTGTCAGTGCAAAAAGAAACATTCGATAAGTAATATTCTCACCTTGAAATCGGCAAGCTTGAGTTTACAAATGCTTAATAAAAATACAGATATATTTGAACGAAAGACATTTGTAGGCCGAACCAAACGATGTATCCGCACGGCGCCCAGCTGCCCACCAGGTGGCGGAGCGCGCCCGGGGAGCGGCGGGGAGCAGCCCGGCCTCGGCGCCATGGCACCGCCCGCCTCACAGCCCTTTCCCGCTTCCTCGGCTGTCGGCAGCCGGGCTTCCTTTCTGCACGTAGAGCGTTAACTTCTTTAGACCCGGAAAAACAGTAAGACGGATGTGGACATGGAGCTGAGTTTTTCTGTTGTTCTCAAACCAAATTTGTTCAGGTTTACTCGTCGTTCAGCTTTTCGAGGAGTAAATGTGAAATGTCTGAGATGCTTTGAAAAGCGTTCTCCCACAAGGAGCGTCTGTCGTGGTTTAGAAGTGCTGGTCACAGAGCCTCTGCATCCTCCTATCTGTACCCAGACCAATGGGAAAACTCCTGAGGGTGACTTTCTCCTCTTTTCTAACTCCCGGGCATTAAGGGAGAGCAGATAGAATTAGTGCAATGCTAAATGAGAGTCAGCATATGTTATTGTAGGAGTTGGTAGGAGTGTGGTATTCATACCAAGTGTGCCAATCCCTCTGAAAGAGCTGAACAGGAGACTTGTTTAAAGAGATTAAACGATGCAGAATAAAGCTTCCAAAAACTGTAATTGAAAGTGACAGAAACATTAGCTTTGAAACAAGTAACATTTAATCACACAGATTATACAGAAACATAATTTTTGTATGTTGTTTTCTTCAACAGAATTTAATTTTAATCTGTTGAGACAGCTTATCACTTTCAGCTGCCTACTTCCAGAGGCCTGTCAGGGTACGTAAATGGAGCGGCTATGACGAGGAGCAGGACCTGTTCATTCCAACGCTGGCCATAACTGCCTAAATTACAGTTGCCCATACCTGCATCTGTGGGTTGCAGGTTTAAGTGGTTGCACTGTTTCTGACTTCTGTGTGCACCATTGAAATGGTTGGATTTCTGAGCTAGGGCAAGCAGTGGCCCCAGCAAAAGCGTATTTGTACAACCATAAGTAGAAAGTTATTAATGAGCAAAGGCAGGAAGGAAAAAAAAGCAAGAAAAAATCTTTACTGGCCTTGGATACATGCTCAAACCTATGTAAATCATAGAATTGTATAATCATTAAGGTCTGAAAAGACCTCTAAGATCATCTAGTCCAATTGTCAGTCTATCCCCACCATGCCCACTAACTGCATCCCTCATTGCCACATCTCCATGTTTTTTGAACGCCTCCAGGGATGGTGACTCCACCAGCTCCTGGGCAGCCTGTGCCACTGCCTCTCCACTCTGAGAAGTTTTTCCTAATATCCAACCTGAATTAGCATTTGATTTTCTTCTCTTACAAATCTGCAGCAAATAGCCACAGTGACTAAACACTGAGAGTTCAGAAGTGAAACGATTAGCTAGGACACAGAATAAAGCTTAATACACTATTGTTTTGCTATGATATTTATTTTAACAGCTGCTGTGCATGCTGCACAATGTGTGCATTTTCCACTGTCCCTGTCTTGACTCCCATGAAAGAGATCTCTGCATTTGCAGAACATGGGAGTGGGAGCAGACGTGACCTTCAGGAAGGCCGATGTGAAGTACCTTCACCTCTCGAGGGCAACAGGCAGGGAAACTCACAATAATACTAACCTGCTCCCTGTAGCAGCCAAGAACTACGTGTGAAAGCATGTCAAAAACTCCAGGCATTTTGGATGGTTACCATCAAATATTTTGAGTTTATTTGCTCGTGTTCTAAAACTTGTTTGAAAACGGAGTCAGCTATCTAAAAATCGTTTTGAACTACAAGGTTATAGGGAGGTTTATTTTATTGTTCTCTGCCAAAGTCTCTCGAGGCTAATGTAGGAATTTAAAATAGTATGTTTCACCTGCAGTTCACTCTCAGCTCCTTGCAAAGTCTGAGTTATTAACAGATGCCTTTTGTTTTTAGGAAGGTCACATCAATAGGTCAGCACGGCCAGAGTTTCAGAAAACAAAGATATTTCGTAAGAAGAGGAATTAATTCCAGCTCACAGAGAGAACATTACAACAGAAGCAGGTTCATTGTGAAGGGCAGTCAGATAGATTCTGACCTCCTGAATTTGGAAGAAGCCAGAATGTCATTGGTAAGCCTTTAGGGCACTACAACAATCATTTATATTCTGTGATCAGCTTTCAGCTTCCTTGGGAGCTATGCAGATGTATTTAACGACATTCCAGACCAAAAAACATACCCAGTGTTGGCCTTTGGATGAGAAAATCAATGTGTGGTGCAAGGCAGGAACAGTAGCAATGTCCCCTCCTGCTCCCACACTGAGGGTCTGGCACCCCTGAGTGCACACTGATGGGAGCAAAGAGCGTGTGGGAAGCTCAGCTGCTCAGATGAAGAACAATTGATTTGTCAGAATTCAAAGCAGACGATGCTCTCTGCATGGCAGGGACTGTTTCACCATGTTTGTTTGTAAGTGCCTGAGCCTTGTAAATGTTGTAAATATCTCCCTTTGTCAACAGTAAGTAGTCATGTAGCAAGGAAGGAAATGGACTTCGGAAGAAACTGCCAGCCAAAAAAAGAAGAGCAACCAAAACGAAACCTGCAGACGAGGTTTAATATGGTCACTAGGAGAGACACAAGCTCCTACCAAAGTAGATTTATTATAGCTTTCTGTCCTTACAGGACATATAGTCATCCTAATGCAGAACAACATGCACTGTATTGTACTCTGAATGAGTAATGTACGTCATGTGAGTAAGTAATTAATGTATCAGATCTTTCCAAAACTGTATCTGGACAGGCAAAGAGATCACCAGGACACTAGCTCCTTTGTTCCACTTTGATGGCAGGGTACCATCAAAAGGTTTTCCTGGCCAGCTGCATAGGGATGTTGCTTGAGTAAGAATAAAGCCATTGGGAACAAACAGCCCGGAGTGGCCTGGGGCTGCTGTGGGGTGCCACAGAGTCTAAGCATAGAACAAGATCATAAAATCGTTTGGGATGAAAAGGATCTTCAAGATCTTTAAGTCCAACTGCCAACCTGACCTAAGTGACCTTGATTGTCCCCCAAGTGAAGAATCCATAGAGATTTTGAAAAGCTGGAGTTGCTCATCTCATCTTTTCTTGAGGAAGCTTGGTTGTAGTTGGGGTCAAAACATACTAATTTCTGATCTCTCCACAGCTTGTAATGATACTAATAAAGGGATTTAGCTGGATTCCAGAATATTCCTCTCATTACAACAAAGGAGTAAAATTATTCCTAAATGATGCACTGTGGTTTCCTTGTTGGTATAACCCAGGCAATTGCTATGGGTCTGTCTGATACAACTGTATTTTGTATTCTTACTCCTCTGGGCCAATAAACACCTGAAGCAACAGTGGATGATGGGGAATAGGAGTTTAATGGCAAGACTTCAGAGCAGCATGGTGGGATGCTGGGCCTCAGACCTGGGCCCTCCTCAGTTCTGGGCCCTTCTCAAGACCACAACTGACATCATTTGGAAGAAATCAGCAAATCTGGAGTTTACTTGAGCCTCAGTTGATTGGTACTTCATTTGAGCACGAAGTGCTGTTAGCACATAGAATCATGGAATCATAGAATGGTTTGGGTTGGAAGGGACCTTTACAATCATGTAGTTCCAACCCCCTGCTATCGGCAGGGATACCTCTCCTAGACCAGGTTGCTCAAAGGCCCATGCAGCCTGGCGTTGAATGTTTCCAGGGAGAGGGCATCCACAGCCTCTCTGGGCAACCTGTTCTAGTATCTCACCACGCTCACAGTAAAGAACTTCTTCCTAATGTCTAGTCTCAGTCTACCTTCCTCCAGTTTAAAGCCATTTCCCCTTGTCCTGTCTCTACGTGGCCTTATAAAATATCCCTCCCCAGCTTTCCTGTAGGTCCCCTTCAAGTACTGGAAGAAGACCAGTTCTTTTCATGGTGATGCTTCTTACAAGGCCTTTGAGTACGAAAGCACATACTTTTGGTGCTGCAAAGACCTGTACAGCTCATGAAGATCAGCTGGTAACTGGTCACTGCCACACATCTTCAAAGTTACCTTCAGAACACGATGCAAACTTAAGAAGAAACTGCAAGTTTCAAGGAATGCAAGTGGACTTGGACGAAAAGGAAAATGGTGGCAGTTTATTTATCTGCCCATGTGGACATGTCTGACTTAGTTGATAAACATCAACAAATGCTTCTGAACAAGCTAAATAAATAGGAGCTTTTATAAAAAACAATGTATTTCTGAAAAAATGCACCTTATTTATCTGAGCTGGTCAAAAAAAACAAAAACAAAAACAAAATTAAAAAAACGGAATAGAAAAGCTTAATATTCTGCTGTTTAAGATTTATAGCCGAATAGCTGCCCATAAATTCAATGGAATTTCAGCAGCACTAAACTATGCAAACAGAAGTGGAAAAAGATTATAATGAATTCAAAGAGAAAATAAGATCAAGGGTTTGTATGCTTATTTTTTATGATAAAGTAAATACTGTAGGAACGTAGAAAGCTCTTAAGTGATTAGGTCAAAGAAATCAGCAAGGATTTTATACAGAAATACTGATGGTAAACTGAGTAGATTTTTCAAAGACTAAGAATGATAATTTCTATTCTTCAAATTAACTGTGGTTAAACAAAGTCACTGTGGTACAGAATGTGTTATTAATGTCCTTTATACTATAAAAAAGACCAGATGATTACTTGTGAAAGGAATCTTCTGCTTCTGAGACGTAACATACTTTATACTTCCTCATATCTGGTATTAATTTTTTAGCCTTATTTATTTCCTGTTTTAAAATACTGAAAAACTTTCCACACAAACATCTACATTTCCCTTGGAAAAATACCCCAGGCATAAAAAATAAGCTTTTCTTTTGCTTTTTTTTCCTCTAAAATCCCTTTCTAAACTCTTCCAAAAGCTGCCAATCCAGCAATTTCCCAAGATGTCTTGTTATGTCTTAGTAATTAAATTGTAGTCTCTGAGCTGTCTTTTTCGTAACTAAGTTTACAGAAAATGCATCTTCATCCTTGTCTAGCACAATATAGAAATGTTCTGCTGGGAATACAGTTGTATTTATTGATTCTTCAGAATTTGTAAATCCTTTCAAAAGAAATTTGGTTAGTCCTTCTGAGCTTTCATGAACTGATGAAGGCAGAAAGCAATAATTCGAAGAAGTACTTTAAAGGAGTTTATGGCCACATAAGATCTGATACAGGATCTGCAGTAGAACTGTGTTCTCCTTGGTACCTGTTTATTCTTTGCAATAACCATTTACAAACAACAGCATTTTTAAATTTGTTATGTGTCTGATAACAGGATCTCTATGCCTATATGCTGCATTTAGAGGAAAGTGAGCTAATGCAAAGTATGAAGATCTTCCCCCCAACACACACATAAGAAAAAAAAAAACAAAAACAGCAGAGCAGTAGAGAAGATGATCAGAATTTATCTCCTGAGTGAGTGATCATGGAATCATAGAATGGTTTGGGTTGAAAGGGACCTTTAAGATCATCTAGTTCCAATCCCCTGCTATAGGCAAGGACACCTCCCTCTAGACCAGGTTGCTCCTGGCCATGCAAGAAACCAGTTTTATGGGATAGGAACTGCTCATATGACCTAAGTCATGCTGAATTTATCTAAAGATTTCAGGGCTTGTTTTCCAAGGGCTGAGTTTGTATATCATGTTGGGTATGGGGGCCAGATTCAATCTTTTACTCTGTGTTAGCATCTCAGTAAACCAAATGCAGCAAGAGGCAAGAAAGGATCCTCATCCTGTTGGCAGTGTTTCACTTTGAAGTATTGCTGAAGCCCCAAGCAGCAGATTTCCAGGAGGACACCCAACCCCCCGTGCTAGAGACATATCTGGACACTCTTCTTCTGATCTCCATGTCAATTGAGATGTCATACAAATCAACCGAGTCCCACAAGGAAAGCTCAATTAGTTCCCACCTAAGGATAAACTAGAGACTTGTAATTAAGTTAGGCTGCTGACAAATGAAAAGCTTTGATATAATTCTTGTGGACAGCTCATTTATTCAAGTGATTTTATCCTGCAATCTCCCCAAAGAAATTTCTCCCTGCAATATGTAATGGTTTCCTGTCCTTCTCATTGAGCTGTCCCACTTTTGCATCCAGTGATAAAATACTGGAATTAAATGGAAATCAAGACCCTCAATTCCTCTTAGCATGCTTTTTTAAAAACCAAATATACAGTATCTTCCTACACAAATAAAAACAAGTCTCTGCAGCCGTGACCTGCTGAGTCATTTGGCTGAATGCTCTTAGTTTATACAGCTGCATCCATCATGAAATGCCCTTTGATCACACAAAGAAATGCAGTATCTGCTTTGCATTAAAAAACAATATACCTAGAAGATATTAAACTGTTGTAGAGTTCAATGTATTGTTCTCTAATGCAGTTATTACAGCATTTTTTCTATTTTTGCTAGTGAAAACAGGAGGTCAGCATTTCTATTAGTATTGACTGATATGTGATTTCATGCAACTACATGTTTTCCAGTGTACGTGTTGCTCTTATTAAAAGGTATGTGTTTTTCTGGCATCAACAAGTGTCTAATATGGATTGCAGAAAAATTTCCAACATTATGCCCATTTACTCCTTTTTTTTTTTTTTTTTTTTTTTTTGGTCATTGTTGCATACCATTTTAAATTATTATGAGATTATTCAGAATAGCATAGCTTTTCAAATTTGATTCTCTCTTAAAATATTGCAGTTATGTTCCATTCCTCTTGATAATTCAAAGACTTGGAATGAATGATTTAAACATGAGTCATGCGCATTATGAACTATTCAGTGTATTAGGAACACAGATGTTTACTGACATCAATTATTGACATCATTTTGGGATGAACTTTGTTATAACCTTGAAATGAGCAAGCTGATGGAGAATATGAATTGATGTAAAACATCTTCTGTAGCTCTGAAATGTCTCTCCCTATGAAAAGCTGCAGAAGCATTTTAAAAGCAAAACTTCAATCTCAAAATTATCTAAAGAAATCAGAAAACATTTTTCATCTATTGTAAGAACTAAAATGGGTTAATTTATATTACTTCATTAAAAGTAGTTTTTTGTTTTAGTCTGTTCATCGGAAAAGAAAGGTTGTTCTGAATAGGCTATTGTTAGTAACAAGCTTTGCTTCAAGTCAATAAATAGCTGAATGCTGTATCATGTAGCTTCAGTTCATGAATTGTGCATCTGTTCAAACCCTGACAGACTGAGTGTGCCTGTTTAGATACAGCAAACATTTTGTTGCTTGCAATTTCACTTTTTGATAAAGAAATGAAATGTAGCATCAATTGCTGAAGGAGAAAAGTCAACCTAAGTGCTAGGATACTTACAGATATTTACCAGTATATCTTACCTCAGAACTGTGAATGACAATGAGTCTTGCAAGGCAAACTTCCCAAACTCTCTGTTTTGTTGAACATAATAACTATCACAGCTAGTTCCTCCCAGCGTATTAGTTTGAGTGACACAACCAAACAGATTTCAGGTTACTATCAGCACCTTTATCTCTTGAGCCATGTTTGCATAACCACTGATGCTGGGTGGAGATCCAGCAGGAATCAAAGAATGTCTGTTTTCTAAGCAACAGAGACTGATCTAGAAAAGGTCAAGCACAGAAAATGGATAAACACAGAGGCAAGAATCGCAATGTTTTTTCTCTAGCTAGCTAAATGGAAATTTCTGAGGCTATTTTCTCTGGTTTGTTATGCTTTAATGAAAGTGAAATATGATGTACAAAGAATTGTGAGTGTAGCATTTTACTTCCTGGCTTTGACATTTCTTCTGGGTTACTATTAATGAATATCTGTGAGCATTAATGGCAGCAAGAGCTCCAGAAACTGCCACTGGAAAGTAGATACACACTAAGTAAGGAGTAGCATAGCATTTAAAGCATCAGTGGAAGCTGTTCTGGACAGCAGACAGAACGCAATGAGGCAAGGCAGCTACTCGGGTTGTAGGCAGCATAGATACTTTCAGAGATAATGCAGCTGAGCAGCAGTCATATCATTCTTTTCTTAAATGCCAAGTCCCAAATACAAGCCCTTTGGCCAATTCTGGCCAGGTTTGACAATTAAAGGGCTCAGTGTGGCAACTCTAAGGAGTCTCTGGGAATATGGTGTTACAAAGACACGAGTGGACTGGGGCTGCTAAGAGATGTAAAGGCACAGAACACAACCTCCTGAAGGGAGGTGGTGGTGAAGAGAGATTTGGCCTCTTCTCCCAGGTAACGAGCAGGACACAGGGTAATGGCAGCAAGTTGTACCAGAGGAAGTTTAGGTTGGACATAAGGAAGAACTATTTCTCTCAGAGAGTGGTCAGGCACTGGAATGGCTGCCCAGGGAGGTGGTGGAGTCGCTGTCCCTGGCAGTGTTCAAGAGGCGTCTGGATGACGTGCTGCATGATATGGTTTAGTGCTTGTGGTGGCAATGGTGATGAGCAGACGGTTGGACTAGATGATCTTATAGGCTGTTTCCAACCTTGTGATTCTATGATTCTATAAATTGAGAGGATTGATAATATTCCATTGGTCTTGAATTCCATTGAGCTTGAAGAAACTTCTACCTTCATTCAGGGATGGTAAATCTTAAGTACAGGCACCTTCACTTCACTTTATCTTTCATCCCGCACTCCACAGATGAAACTTTTCTGTACATTGTGTTTTGGGGCACAGACCTGCTATATATGCTATTTCATGTAATGAAAACATTTGGCCAACAGACATGAGTGTATTTATTTACATAGTTACATAGTTGTTTAAATTGTATGCTATGGGTATGTTCTTTTATTCACATTTTGGATATGTTATTCTTGTAGTTGCTGTTTTAATTCTGAAGGGAACAAAAGCTTCAGTTCTAAAGTGGTCAGTTGAGAGGTGTGAACTGTTATTTTCCTTTCCTCCTTTAGCTGCATGTAACATATATAGATTCTTCAGAGTGGTAAGTCCACTTGCTCCTTCCAAGCCATAGTAATGAGATATGGACATACAGAGATACTCTACAATGTCTGGCTCTGTAGCCATAATTCCCATACTTCTAGTTGCAGTGTTGATTGGTATTTAGATACTAGAAATTTACAGAAAATACTTCCATGCTAGGCAGTATGCTATTCTTCACTAAATACATTATAGCCACAATTTCACATTCATAAGGATTTTTTCAGTGTAGCAGCAAGAATACTATGTAAAATTGATATGATCATGGTGCTTTATTTAGGGTCCTTTATTCTTGAAAAGAGTGTGCTTCAAAAGTTTGTGTTTTTTTTTTTTTTTTTTTAAACAAGAACCTGAACTTTCGTACTATTAATTTGATCACAAAATCTCATGCATATTTAATTTTTACAAGGCCTACAAAGCTGTCTCATATAATGAATGGCTATACAAGGACAGCCCTTCCCTATTTATCAGTTTTGTACCAATGGGTGGCAGGATCTGGGTCTGCAGTTGCATATGTTAGGAAGAAAGAAAAAAAAAAAGTCTTAAAAGCTCAGATACACAGAGAACCAGGTCTATAGTCAACCAACTTCTCTTTCCACTGCCCAGCTCAGAGACCAAAATTTGCAGTCTTCCTTAGTTATTTATGTAAATATCCTGTCCAGGTGAGGAGAAGAGCCAGGCATGTGGCTGTGGGATTTACAAGAGCCAAGCGCCAAGCAGAGGGGTGCAGAGAAATGCTGAAATAAGGGATGTGTCTGAATTGCCTCCTCCTCCTCTCTTGCTGTGAGATTTGGCTTCCTACGAGAGAAAGATACACATCTTTGAAGTCCCTCAGCCACTTCAGTTGCTGCTTGGATATGAATGATTTCATTTCTGTTACTCTTTTAAAAAAGAAAATGCCTAGCATTAGTCATATTTTAGTGGGCAACATTGGTGGTAAGTGGACAGTTGGACTGGATGATCGTAGAAGTCTTTTCCAACCTTCATGATTTTATGATCATTTTGATGACCATGTAGTTTCTTGCCTTTTGTGTAGTGCAAGTAATGAGCTTCACCCAACAGTGATGCTCATTTTTAAGACTTTGGGTAGTATTAGGGCTTTGAACATTGCTTTGTGATGAGTTTGTGTTGTTGGTACAGTTTAGAAGTGCATAATCACCTCAATCTACAATAGATATCCAAACAAGTGTTTGGACAATGCCTGAACACACTTGAAGTAAAATATATGCTGAGATACCTTATCCAAGATAAGAAGGCCTCTGGGAAAACGCACTCGATGTACTTTAGGTGCCTAAATAACTTCGCTGATGACAACTTAGGTGCCTCTCAGGTATGCATGCCACAGGCGGAATCTGTGTGACTCACTTGCTAGAATTCAGGCATCTACATTCTGCTTGAGCGATGCCATAGGCACTTAAAGGCTTTTGGAATCTTCTCCTAAATTATTAGAGTTTATAAAAATGTCTTCTTTCAAAACTATGACAAGGATTCAAACTGCTCCTCATTTAACTGTGTGAATGAGTAGGAGGTGAGGTTTTAAAATTTTCTATATTGCTTCATAGTCTTAACATAATTACCAGAGTAGGATTTAAATTCATCCAGCATTTTCAATCTCTTCTGAAGAGATTTTACCACAGGTATATACTGAAGGACATAAAAAAAATTAAGCCAGTAGCTTACAACTTCTTCACATTTTTTTTGTCAATCTCTTTATTTTGCAAATGTGACTGTGAGACTAGATGTTTGTTATCCCAGAAGATTGTTTCAGATAGCATATATTCGCTGTTTTGCATGTTATATACAACGTTTATACCCTATTTGCTGGATAAGCACCCTCGTCTTCTACAACCCTTTACAAATTCCCCACAGCAATGGGAATTTTGCTGTATTGTGAAAGGCAGAGGTGAGAGAATGTGCTGCTTTATAAAAATTGGAAGATAGCTTTCTCTTTTGTCTCATACAAAGTTTTTTCACTAGCACCTGGAGCTGCAGCTTGGGGGCTGCAGTTTTAATGGTCTACTGGCAACAGCAGCTGATCAGCTATGCAGAGCAAGACTGTGCAGTCTTACAAGACTAATACTAGAAAGCCTGGAAAAATAAATCTGTTGTGCTAGCCTAAGATTTTACCTGTTTTACAGCAGTCCAATTTAATAAATCCTATATGTTGTTGTCCTGTCTGGGCATTTGGTTAGTGGCTATAGCTATATCTAGGTGATTTATTATTGCTGATGCCACATCCTGTTGCATTAATGTATAACATTACCTACACTGGTAGCCAGACACACATCAGAAAATATGAGCTGTACTACATCTTCCCCCCACCCAAATATCAGTGGTATCTCATTCCACATTTGTCTCTGTGGTCTTACTGTGAGGGCAGCAAGCAAGGAGAGGGAGAGCATCCATGTGTGCAGGACGCTACGTTGGGAGTAATGGGTAGGAAGCAGCTCCCTCCTGCAGCTGGCAGCTGTGGTTCAGGTATCACAAGATGGTGCTCTTGTACCTACAGCAAGCTATTCAGTAGCCAACTCTTGAGATTTTTGAGATTCTCACTCAACTTTGTCCTGCAGATGACAGTTTGAACTGAACAGTACCAGCGGTGGTTTCAGGACAGAAGAGATGCCTGGTGAGAGCAGCATCTCCATGCACAACTACGTTGTGCATCTCTTAGTAAGGAATGAATAAAAGCTACGGGCTCACAGAAGAAGTGTTATCTTACTCTCCTCTCTTCTTGATGCTGCACTGAAAGATGTTCACTTGAGCAGCCATCATAAAAAACTATGCTTAATGCTTCTTTCACATTTCCAGTTCTCTAATGGGAAGAGAGACCCAGAAGATCTGCTATGGAGAATATGTATCCAGGCATCTTTTTCCATCTCTTTGAAAGTTTGGCCCACCACCACTCCTCTCCAAAACCAAAATCTGTTGCTGTACAGGTATGTGTGATACATCCCATTTAAATTAGAATGTTCAAATTTTTTTATCCAAGCTGGGATCTGTTTGTTTCCTTTTTGCATTTCTCATTTATCCACTGTTTTTTCTCCAAACATTTTGGCTGTCAGAAGGCCACATTAAAGAATATGTCTATACTGTCCTTGTGAGATCCCACCACAGTACTGCACTCAACTTTGGGGCCCCGAGTGTAAGAAAGATATGGACCTGTTGGAATGGGTCCAGAGGAGGCCATGAAGATGATCATAGAGCTGGAGCACCTCCTGTCTCCTGTGAAGATAAGCTGAGAGAGATGGCATTATTTAGCTTAGAAAAGAGTCCAAGGAGCCTTATAGTAGCCTACCAGTACTTAAAGAGGTCAAAATAAAGATGGAGAGAGAGTATTTATCAAAACAAGAGATAACAGTTTAAACTGTTCAGAAGAAATTCTGTACCATGATTGTGGTGAAGCACTGGCAGAGGTTGCCCAGAGAAGCTGCAGAGGTGCTATCTCTGAGGCGTTCAAGGCCAGGCTGGATGGGGCTTTTAGCAATCTGATCTAGTGGGAGGTATCCCTGCCCATGTCAGGGGGTTGGAACTGGATAGTTTTTC